GCACATGCTCGATCTGATTACGTGCTACCGAAAGGCGCCGCACGAGGACGAGCTGGACACCAAGGAGCGGGCGTGCCGCAACCTCGTCCAGACCCTCGTGGAGCACTCCGGGTGCCGGCCCATCAAGGCCTGGGTGCCTGTGCCCATTCTGCTGCCGGGCGAGCAGACCTCCACACGCGACGAGCCGGCCAAGCACATTTACGCAGCTGTCCCGGCCGTCGAGGAACTCTCGGGCGTGCTCGATGCGGCCATTTGGGTCGGCTACGCGTGGGCCGACGAGCCGCGCAACCGCGCCGCCGTGGTGGTGACGGGGTGGCACACGGAGGCCGTCGCCGCGGGCGCCGAGCGGCTGGCGCGGCTGTTCTGGAAGGCGCGTGCCGCGTTCCACTTTGTGGCGCCGACGGGCACGCTTGACGAATGTCTCGACAAGGCGTTTGCCGCGCCGCCGGCCGCCAAACCGTTCTTTGTCTCGGACTCGGGGGACAACCCGACGGCCGGTGGATCGGGCGACGTGACATGGGGGCTCACGCAGCTGATGAAGCGCAAGGAATTGAAAGTGACGCACAAGAATGAGGACGAGCGGCCGACTGTCATCTACGCCAGCATCCCAGGCCCCGAGGCGGTACGGACGGCCGTGGCCGCAGGCGTCGGCAGCAGCGTCACGGTTACGGCGGGCGCCGCCATCGACGATGTGCATGCAGGGCCCATTACACTCACCGGCGATGTCGTTGCCATCAAGCACGGCGACAAGCATGCACGGACCGAAATCGTCCTGCGCCCAAAAGGTACATTGCTCTATGTCATAATCACGGATCTGCGCAAGCCCTACCACTTGGAGCGCGATTTCACAGACTTGGGCCTCAAGCCACGCGAGGCAGACGTCGTCCTCGTCAAGATTGGCTACCTCGAACCGCAGCTGTACGCCATGGCGGCCGACTGGATGCTGGCACTGACGCCTGGCGGTGTCGACCAGGACTTGCAGCGGCTGGGCCATACGCGCATCAGGCGGCCCATGTTTCCGTTTGACGGGGAGTTTGGCACACCGCCCGACCTGTCGGCTCGGCTTATTCCTCTGTCGACGGAGCCCTTGGCAGGGCCGGACGAGTGAGACAGCGGGAAGAGGATAAGGATGTGAAAATGAGTGTGACACAATTATTTTAATCCGAGCTTGCTGATGCTACAGTGGCCGATCATAACATAACTGGACACGTACGGGACACACGTAACATCATGTCCGAGCGATGCTCCTGTTATTGTCCGTCTCGTCTCATTCTGGCCGAGCTGCGAAAAGTGTCCGATGGCAAGGATGGTCATAGTGATGTCTGAGCGAATTGGGCACGTCAGCAGCTCGTAAATACGAACTTGTCAATTGGAGCAGAACATATGTGTGATCTAGAGCATTGAGGAGGAACGTGGACATTCGACACAGTGTAGCAGAGTTGTTCTTTAGTTTGTATAATTGATAGTGAAAGTATTGGCTGACAGAGGGAAGAAAATAAAATGTTGGAACATGAAGCAAAAAATTAAATAAAAAATGTATGTGATTTTTATTTTATTTTTACTCAATTAGAGCGTTCCCTCCATAAAATACGGACAAAAATCCCCCCCAAAGCATCTCGCAAACCCATAATGTAGAAATCAAAATGGTTCCCATACCTGCAAAAACAAGCGGCAATCGGATGGCTACATGCCGTAAAAGAGATTGAAGCTTCTACCGAGATGTTTCTTTGAGCTCGGGATGACATCACAGGGCAGCCTTGCAGCAGGGGCATCCGCCACGGAACCCACTGTGTTCCCACAACAGACCTAAAAGGGCCTCCACACCTCGCCCGTTCGGGCCCTGCCGACGCCGATGCCAAGACCGAAGTCGCGAGAGTGATGTGCGGATGCGTTCGTCGCTCTTTTCTGATTGGGACCTTGTTTGCTCCTTTTTTTGTCTCTTTTCTCCCTTTCTTATTTCCTTTTCCGACGTCAAGGAAGGTTCAAGGAAGACTGCCGTCCGCACGGAGAAACGGCGTGTTTCTTTTACACCGTGTGAGCGGAAATAGCCGGGACAGGAGACGTCTTGCGTGGTTTTGTCGCCGACGAGTTTCTTTTTCTTCTTTTCTCGCATTCTCCATTGTCGTACCTCCATCTCAAAGGCAACATCACACAAATGCACTAAAGTACCCGAGCTCGGCTCCGAAGCCCTTTGAAGGCATAGAAACTAGGACTAGCGCTGGTAACAAAAGACCGGCTGTGCGGATTCAGTCGGTGGTTCCTTTTGCTGGCAATTTGTGCACCTTTTTGGGTTGTTAGCAGACTTCCGGGGCTTGCGGCTACCTGCGGCCGGCACCAGGTACGTGAGTGTACTAAAGACGTCGGTTATCGAGCCTCGAAAACAACGGATATTTTATTGAAAATTTTATCGCCGGTTTACACCCATGACGACGATCAGCAAGAACTCTCACTGGTACCTTTTTGTGAATAAAAGCTAGTAAGGGGAACATCATCGAAGCCTTTTCGACTGTTTTGATTGCAATAGTGCAATGGCGATTCGACTGCTTTTGTCAATTGGTCCAATTCGACCCAACATCCATTTACACGACAGATTCCTGTCCGTCCACTCACACGATTGAACCAAGAACACCACCCGACTCAACCGCTATGGCCGAACCAAAAGCAGACGCCAAGCCGGCCCCATTGGCCAATGACGACGACGACATCGACGACCAGTACGAGCGCCTCGAAGACGCCGGCGCGCTGAGTCCGGACGAGCTCGAAGACAACGAAGAGGACGGCGAAGACGCGCCGACACCCCCGGAAGAGGGCTGCGATGGACACCGGCCGGTGCTGTTCCGCTCGCGCACGGCGCGCACATCGCGCACAAGCCTGTCACGGCGGACGACGGCCGAAGCTACGGGCGCTGATGGCAGTGGCAGTGGCAATGGCAACAATCCTGGCCGCCGGCCGTCGACCGCCAGCAACGCCGCCAGTGTGACGCGCACGCAGTCCATGCTGTCGCGCATCCGCTCGCGTCGCAGCCTGCCCGGCGCGCAAGCCAACGGCATGCCGGTCTTCTCGCACCCGCTCGGCCGCGTGCAGACGACCAAGGACGTGCTCGTGGACTTTGACGGCCCCGACGACCCGTACCGCGCCCTCAACTGGCCGACGCGCAAGAAGATTGTGACGACCATGGTCTACGGCTTTGTGACCATGACGGCCACGTGGGCGTCGTCGTCGTACTCGGCGGGCACGGCCGCGGTGGCGGCTGCGTTCGGCGTGTCGGCCGAGGTGGCCACGCTGGGCACGTCGCTGTTTCTGATGGGCTTTGGCGTCGGCCCGCTGCTGTGGGCGCCGCTTAGCGAGGTCTACGGGCGGCGCAACGCCGTGCTGACGCCCATGTTCGTGGCCGTGTGCTTCTCGTTTGGCAGCGCGACGGCCAAGGACTTCCAGACGCTGATGCTGACGCGCTTCTTTGGCGGCTTTTTCGCGTCGGCGCCCGTCACCAACACCGGCGGCGTGCTGGGCGACCTCTTCTCGCCCGCGTGGCGCGGCATCGCCATGGCGGGCTACGCCATGGCCGTCGTGGGCGGACCCGTGCTGGGCCCCATTGTGTCGGCGGCCGTGGTGATCCAGCCGTCGCTGGGCTGGCGCTGGACCGAGTATCTGACGGGCATCCTGCAGGCGTTTGTGCTCGTGGTGGCCATTGTGCTGATTGACGAGTCCTACGGCCCCGTCCTGCTCGTCTACAAGGCGCGCCGCCTGCGCCACGAGACGGGCAACTGGGCGCTGCACGCGCGCTTCGAGGAGTGGGACGTCAGCATCCGCGAGCTGGCCAGCAAGTTCTTGGTGCGCCCCATCCAGCTGCTCCTGACGCCCATTTGCTTTCTCGTCGCCTTGTATGCCAGCTTCTGCTACGGCATCCTCTACATGCAGCTCGGCGCCATCCCCATCATCTTTGGCGAGATCCGCGGCTGGGGCCACCTGGTGGCGGCCCTGCCGTTCCTCGGCCTCCTGCTGGGCGCTGCCATCGGCGCCGCAGCGAACGTGTACAACCAGACGCTCTACAACAAGGCATACCATGCCGCCGGCAACCGCGCCGTCCCCGAGAAGCGCCTGCCGCCGATGATGGTGGGCTCCGTGCTGTTCAGTGGCGGCCAGTTTCTGACGGGCTGGACCGGCGCCCGCACCGACATCCACTGGATTGCGCCCGTCCTCGGGCTCGTCATGACGGGCTCTGGTTTCTTCACCATTTTCCAGGCCGCCCTCAACTACTTGGTGGACACCTTCCAGACGTATGCCGCCTCGGCCATTGCCGCCAACACCTTTCTGCGCTCCTGCTTTGCCGCCGCGTTCCCCCTCGTCGTCTCCGCCCTGTTCCACAATCTGGGCGTCGGTCCTGGCTCGAGCATCACGGGCGGCTTTGCCACGCTGCTGATCCCAGTGCCGTTTGTCTTTTACATCTACGGCAAGCGCATTCGGGCGCGCTCGAAGTGGTCCAAAGCGTCCGTGTTTGATTAGAAGCGAGCACGACGTGCGAGGAAGCAATTGAAACCGCGGATTGGGATAACGATGACAGCATTGAACATTTACGTTGTCCACATAGACGTATATAATTAATACCTTGATACCAACTACACGCTTGTCTTCATTACATTGTTCTCACTGTCACCCACGTATACACTTTGCGTAAGCTGAACAGTTGTTGTGTGCTATCCTCCTTTCACATCACGATCATACATTTTGACTCATACAAGACATACAGGTAGTAAATCCCACAAAAATAACCGTAAACTCCAGTTCAGGAAAGGCAAATCCAAACAATCCAAGAATGTCCATAGCCAAATTCATAACAATCCATAACAATCCATAACAATCCATAGCAGTCCATAGCAGTCCATAGCAGTCCATAGCAGTCCATAGCAGTTCATAAGCAGTCTTAGCCAAATCCTAAAATATCGTCACCTCAGACATGATCCGGCATTGTCAAACTTTCAAACATTTCCCCACTCCTCTCCCTACATGGCAATTCCGCTCCGTTCTGGACCCATGTCGGGCGGACAGAACTGCCGCAGCATCCGCGAACAGTACGAGCTCGCCTTGCGGCACCGGAACTCCGTCACCAGCGCATTGAGCAGCGCCATGTCCGACCCGGCACTGTTGACGTTCGGGACACCGCTGCTGCGGACGGCGTTGCTGACTGTGTTGGAGATGGGTGCGACCACGGGCGGATCGGGCGCCAGCGTGGCGGCGGTGGCCGTCGTATGGCGACCATTGCCATTGCCATTACCAGAGGTAGTACCGTTGGCGCCGCCGTCGTCGTTGGCGCCGCCGCGGATGCGGGCGAGAATGACAAACGCCACGAGGCAGTACTCGGGCGCGTGCCGTATGAAGCCGACGGCCAGCGGCCAGCCACTCGCCGTATCCAGGGACGTCGACGCCGCGGCCATGGTAGCCGCCGTGGCGTGCATCTCGTAGAGCTCTTGGTCGCGGTACGCCGAGGGCCACAGACGGATCCAGTTGCGCAGCCCCGTCTGAATGAGGGCGGCCTCGCCGCTGGGGCCGGCCGTGTAGAGCAGGGACGTTTCCACGCGGAACGTCATGGCGTAGAGGGCCGAGACAATGGTAAACATGTTGAGCACGCTGAGGGTGGCAAAGGCCTGCTCAATCTCCCTCGAGATGGCGCCGTGGCACAGAGTCTGCACTGCGGAGGCGATCGTAATGGGTGCATTGCCCTTTTCGCTGCCTGCAATGGCAGCGTTGGCGGCACGCCATGCGGCGAGCTCGGCAAAGCAGGCGTCGGCCGTCTCGGCACGGAAGCAGGACTCGGGCGAGGCCAGGTCGACCTGCAACTCGGGCAGGACCATGCGCGGCGGATGCCTGTAAAACAGTGCGTAGGCCGCGTCGAGGTCGAAGATGTACGAGACGGTCCGGATCAGGGACTCGCGCAAAATGTACTCGGGCCAGTCAAAGGCCTCCCGCGAATCGGTGCGGACGGGGCGCAGTGTAGCCGACGAGCAGCCAATGTCGCGCGCGAGACCGATGACACTTGAATAGCGATCTTGGCGGGCGCGGCGTTTGGCGCGGGGTGTGCCGTTCCAGGTTTGGTAGAGGCACACCAAGAACCCAGCCTGCAGGCGGGCCAGCTGGGCACTGCGCTGGACGGTGTGCGTCGAGTTTTCCCAGGCGAGCACCATGTTGGTCGTCGTGTTGGTGCAGTCTTCGTGGTCGCAGTCGTTGTCTTCGCATTCGTGGCTGTTGGGTTCGGCACCATTGTCGCCCGCGCCGAAATGGTGGCTGGCGTTGTCATCATGGTCGTTGTCGTACGTCTCTTCGATATCGTCGTGGTCTTCACGGAACACCATTTCTTCGACGGCATCAAACCAGAGGCCAGGGACGGCCGTCTGGTCCGGCCGACCACGGCTGCCGAGCAGCTGGCTGAGATGGTTGTGGTTGCTGCTGTTACTGGGGCTGTCGTCGGGAACCAGGCAAGCACCCACCAGGACCATGGCGGCAAGCAGCATGGCTGGTGCCGCAGCGGGCGTGAACGAAGGGCCGTGGATGGCCGGTTGATTTGGGTACCAGAAGGACCAGAAGAGCGCGAGACACTTGTGGATGTTGGCGGGTCGGAAGAAGTCGTAGCAGAGAGCTTCCATGGCGGGCGACCAGCCGTCGTCGGCCTTGGCTTTGCCCCGGGATCGCGCTCCATTTCCTGCACTTGTATTGTTCTTGGTCCTGTTGGCTTTTGCCAGACTCTGACGAGCCAAGGTCACCTCGCGGATTTGCGACACGATGTCGTGCGTCTTGGCGAGCAGGTGCATATGATCGTCGTCATCGTCGTCGTTGGGTGCCGCAGCCAGAGCAAGAGGCGACCAGCTGGACCACGCGAGGCCGGACGCGGACCGGTGGCCTAGACCGCTCGCGCTCACGCGGCCCATGCCCACAATGACCTTTTCTTGGCTGAGCTGAGCAACGGTGCGGCGCTGTTCCTGGCTGCCGCAACGAAATGAGTCGAGGAGGCCGCTGGTGCGGGTGATGCGCTCGAGGAAGGAGAACTCGCACAGGGCAGACAAGTCGATCTCGGTGGGCCGACGAATGAGGCGAAGCATGAGGGCGGAGGGCTGCTGGAAAGATTGTTGCTCGTGTTGCTCGTGTTGCTGCTGTTGTTGCTGCTGCTGCTGTTGCATGTGGTGGTAGTTTGCCCCGGGTTGCAGATACGTGTATTGGGTGTACCCAGGCTGCTGCGGTGGCATTATGGTTGCAGCGGAGGCCGTTGGCATGGCTGTTGTGGCCGGCATGGACATCATGGGGATGGATGGCGGGACTGCAGCATCAGCAGGGTTCATGCCGGCGGCGAAGTCGCCCATGAGATCGCCGCTAGGAGCACGCAGTCCCATATCCATGTCCATATTGAGGTTGTTAAGACTGTTGATGTTGTTCAGGCCTGGGATGTTGTTGACATTGTTGACGTTGTTGATGTTGTTGATGTTGTTGATGTTGACATTGCTGATATTGACACCGTCCATGTCCACGCCGTCGAGGATCCAGTCGAATTCGTTAGACGCAAACAGCGGCAAAGACGCGTCGATTGGCTGTTGAGTCCCGCTGTCGGCATCGCCGGCGAAACCGGTTGTGCTGGTCGAGCCGGTAGCCGCGGCGGCGGTGGTGCTACGGGTACCGGTACTGGCACTGGCACTCCCGGTGCTGGCCGACCCGGACGATGCTGGGGACGTGGTGCTCATCGGTCCGACGGCAACGGCATCGGCGGCATCGGCGCCTACAACAATCGTATCAATGAACGCGGGATTTCGGACTGCAGCCGCCGCCGCCGCTGCTGCTATTGCTGTTGACGACGTCGAAGACGCTGTTGGTACCGCCCGGGTGTAGACACACGGCCGCTTGCTCCGGACGCACGTCTCGCACGGGTCAGTAAAGGTGCAGGCGCGTTTGAGGCGGCAGCAGCGGTCGCAGGCCTGCGGTTTGCGGCCGCGCGTCTTCGGAACGACTTGTGGTGTCTCCAGTGCCTGGCGGCGGCGCACGGCACACGTTGTCCAGTGGCGCTTGAGCGAGTCGCTGCGGTTGAAGAGGCGGCCGCAGAAGAGGCAGGCAAAGCCCTTGTGCTTTGCCTCATTGTCCTTGCGTGACTGTGTGTCGATGGGTACTGTCGAGGTCGATGTTGAGGTCGAGGTTGCAGCTGTTGTCGGGGCTGTTGCTGCCCCAGACGATGAGACGTCGCCCGCCCGACCCATCGCGTCAGGCGCATCCAACGGCGGCCCCGCGATGGACGTCTCCATGGAGGCTGTCGTCAATGGCCAATCTAACGTTGTCCGGTCTCTGTCCGAGGCTGTTCGTCGTGAATGTCGATTCAGTTGTCACGTCGTCGGTTCGTGTAGGCGGGAATGACGATGCTGGTCGTGCTCCCTGGAGAGAGAGATTGGCAAGGAGTCTAACTGCCGATCTCAAGTGGAGGAGGCAAGGGGCGTGTGGGCAAGGCATAGCGAGACACACACTCACAGACCAGAGCTCTCATCGCCTCAGCTCGTTATTCGCACATTTCTCGGTGATCTCCGTGGACCCAACGACGGACCAACGATTAGCGAGCGAAAGGAGAAATGCGGGGAAATTGGCTGGCCATTCAAGTGGCAGGGTGCGGCCTCAGAATTCGCACTGTTTGGAGGCAGGGGCGATGGGTGACGCTGTACGACAGCACGACAGACAAGCCTGGCGAGAAAGGAGCGCAAAAGAACGCAAATTGGCAGGTGCCAACGCCGGTTGTCTCATAGTGTCCAAAATCGCCACCCAATGGCTGCAAATAGGCCCTTGTCGTTGGGCCAGTGCAAGCAAAAGAAAACGAACCTGGCAGACAATCGAACAAACGCCAGCTGGCCTGCAATGACAATGTCTGGCCATGCGTTGACTGCGCTAGTCCTGGAAGCTGAACCACTCAGTTGGGTCGGGGTTGAACGTGCGAGCGGGAAATTCCCACACATTCCTTGCCGGTTGGTGTTCTTCTGTTGACATCGCGGCTTCACCGTAGCTGAAAGCCTTATGAGACACGTGGGCTGGTGCGAATGAACTGTTCGCTGTATTTCGTACAGATGTCTCTGATGCAGTGCCTCACAGCATCCCATGCTCCTTCGTATAGTTCTTGGGCCACTCGCCGGACTTGCCGGGCGCCATGATGCCGTTCGAATCGACGGCGTTCTTGATGGCCTCGTTGACGAGCAGGAAGCTGCTGTTGTTCCAGTTGTACGTGCCCATGATCTGGCCAGGGCGCGCGTCGCTTCTGGGCCGCGTCGTGCTCGTTGAAGACAATGCAGACAATGTGGTGCATCTCGCGCATGCCAATGGTGACGGTGCCGATAAAGCCGAGCTCGGCCTCTTCGCAGCGCCGCCGCGTCACTTCGTACGGCGCTATGGCGTCCTCGCCCCGGACAGGCGCAATGGGCGAGCAGAAGAGACGCGTGCCGTTGTGCGGCCACGAGACCCAGCGCAACTCTTCAACAGTCGGGATGCCTTGCATAGTCAGGTCGCGGATGCGCAGCACCGCGTTCGCAAGCACGTCGTCTTTGCAGTAGAACCGGGCGCCGGGAATGGCTGTGAAGGCGCCCTTAATGGCCGCCCACAGACATTGCGGACGGGTTCGGGTCCGCACACCGCGCCGTAAAAGTTCCAGCGGGCCAGGTTCAGCTTCTTGCCAATAGCGTCCAGCTCTTCGTTGCCCAGCACGCCCTTTTGTCGATGTACTCCGCCTTGGTGCCGATGACGGCTGCGTCCAGCAGGATGTGATGCATCGTCGGCAGGTTCTGCAAGACCACGACCGGGCGCAGCGGCCGGACGATGTCAACAGCCTGCTTGAGGTCCTCGTCGCATGGCAGCGTGATGAGGTACGACTGGCCGCAGGCCTGGGGTCGCCGGTTTGCGCGGGTCTGGCAGCGCGCCCATTCCTGTACGGACCAGGGCGCCCGACGGCAGCCCACTGTGCATCATTAAGTGGTCGCCGTACGGCGTGTATCCGCCGCCACGCTCGAGCGTGTTGCCCGGGATGGAAGCGCTGCCCAGGCCAGGCACGTCGATCCACAGCTTGTCGCGCAGGTTGTTCGCAACGAAGTAGTTGTGCATGTCCTGGAACGTGACGCCCGGCTCAACCAGGCAGTACATGCCGTCGACGTTCACCTCGAGGATCTTCTTCATGTTCTTTCCCATGTTGAGCACCAGGCTGCCGCGCACACGGGAACCTGCGCCGCCGTACCCAGAGTTGCTCCCAAAGGCGATGGGCCTCATCGGCATTGGCAGCAGGTTGGCCGGGTCGACAATAGCCTGCACGTTGCCGACGTTGCGTGGCGCCACTACCGCCGGTCATGCATGTATGTGGGATCCTCGTACGAGCGGTCGTCAATCTGGTCCGCGGACACGATGACCTGGACATTCTCGGTAATCCTTGATGAACTTGTTGAACGCTGTAATATCGACACCAGGCGGTAGGGCCAGTGGTGTCGAGCCAGAAGGATGTGAAGTGGAAGCTGACATGGCTGTGCTTAGTGATAGGATGATGGTATGTTGTGATGTCGATTGGACGTGAACAGCTAAGGACTCGAGACGATGGATAACAAGGCAGAACACGAATCCAGAAATCAGGCGTTATTGCCTCACCTTACAGCACACAGACAGGGGCAGATGACTCGTATTTATGCGAAACTGATCTGGTAACCCCTTATCACAGCACACCACTGCTTGGACTGATCTCCGCCGCCACCCAACTCGCGCATCGCCCACCACCTCGGCCTTCCAACCCGGGGCCTCCTGACTATTCAGTGCACTCTATGTTGCTCATTCATATCCCGTGCTATATTCTACTCTTTTATGTCGATGATCCAGTTGGGCCAGCCGGCAGCTTGCCCCTCATCCAACGTCACGCCATGGTCACTACTTACATACGCACAGCCCTGTGGAATTTCTCCGTTGTTGCCCTCCGGCCCGCAGCTTGGTCTGTGGATTTCCCGATGGCCCCGCCCCGTTTGCAGATCTGGAGAAATGCCACAGACAACGATTACAGCAAGGACCGTACGGGGCTGTCTTTGACCTGCATTGCGCTCATCCCCTGTGATTCGAGGCCCAGACCCCAGAGCCCTGCTGATGGCCCTCGCCTAGCACCAAGACACAAACAATATCCGCCCGAACTCGTAACAACGCATCTGGCGCATTTTGTACCGATTTTGGAGTACATGACCTGCACCAGCCGATCACAGAACGTCGCGTCGTAGCCAGTGCTGCTGATGGATATCACACATCCGCTGGTCGACCCCCCAGATACTTTGATCCTCAGCTACGGAGCGGCAGGGAGGGCCGCTGCTGTCAGCGGTGGCATGGTTGTGGCGCGTTTTGGCGAGGTGGCGTTGGCGGTTCCATTCCAAAACACCGTCCGTGTTTGTGTGCGGACAAGCGTCTGCGTGCGTGCCTGTGTGACCGTCGCCGTCACGGTCACAGTCTTTGACTCCATCGTTGTTCCATTGGCCGCTTTGAACACTGTTTTTGTTGTCGTCGCCGTCTCCCAACTCGTTGCTGTGACAAGCCTCCGACACGACGACGGCACAGGCGTCGGCGACGGTGACATGCAGATGGGGCAGGCCGGGCACAACCGACACGATGACGCGTTGTCCGCCCCGTCCGTCGGCCTTGGAGCAAGCGGGACGCCGGTCGTCCCCTGGCCGGGATTGCACGTGCCTCCGGATAGGTCGCACCCATGAGCGCAGTAGGCGTCGATGTTGCCGCAGAAGCCGTGTCCCGAACAACAGTCTCCCCATTTCGATCCAACACAGGTGAAGCCGGTGTTGCCGCCGCAGCTGCCATTGGGGCTGATCTGGAGGGCCAGCGCCGACGTGGCCGACAAGGTCGCCGAGAGAAGGAAAACCTGGACAACGAAGATCCAATGTGGTCTTTGCCGTGACATCATGCTTTAGTTTTCTGACGAGACGATATGGGCAATGTGTCGTGGTAATCGCACCGTGCTAGATGTGTTTCAGTCAAAGGGCGTATGTGGTTTGGCCCTCCTTTATAGGTACATTAATACTTTGTTGTTTGCCGTGATAGCCGACGTGGTGTGGCTTACTTGTCTTTCACCCGGTTGTTGGTCGTAGGATCATGAAAACGTAATATGTTGCGGCGGAAGGACGGCACCTCAATTTAACAATACGAGGCGACCGCGACCACCCGTATATTTCTCCAACGTTCCAACGCACGATAAGAAAACTCGTTGGTTTCACACGTTACCTGGGACTTGTATGTTCCAAGGCTCTGGGGACGAATGTAGCTCGCCGTCGCCTCTTCTGTCGTCCTTGTCTTCTGCACCGCGATCCCACTTTCACTCTCAATCCAACGTTGTCTTTGTTAGGCGTCTGTAACTATCAGTTGCCAAAGATTGCGTTGCCTCAATGGCTTTGGCAATTGCGCCCTGCCAGCAGCCGCTTATCGTCTCGGCGAACAACCGCTGTCCAGTCACCGGACTCGTTCCATCGGTGATAGGGCGAACTGGGCCTCGACCCCAGGCGCAGGACGCGCGTCGTACGGCTCTACACCCCGACACAATGTTTCCCGGTGCCGCGCGGACCCGTCTAGAGTGTAGCATCTCAGGTGCTTTTGTAGTGTGCGATACGGTGTGTCGTCTAATGTGAGTGACATGCTCTGGGCACCGTTGGAGCAGTCGTGGGTGGCTTTGCGGCAGATGCTTGTAGATTTAGATCCCGTTGTGCAGGTGATGGCACCCTGTATCAAGACTACCACTCCAGGCATCATGGACTTTGTGACGCGTGTTACATCGCAGTGGTTGCAATATGCCGGAGATGCCAATACCTATCATCGAGTGCTAGGCACAACGAAACGAGCATCAGTTGACCGGGTGCGTGCCGTGGTCCTTGGGCGGCTCTGTTGTACCTACCAGCCTTTGTTGCCATTCGAGCTTCTTCAATCGAGAGTATATGCGACGGCTGCCAAGACGTGGCCGGTGGAAAAACCTGTCAATGTAACATGCCACGAATCTTATTCTGTCGTTTGTCGAAAGGTAGATTATCGTCCTCGATAGTGGGCCGTGTGCAATGAAATACGTCATTGATCTCTTACTTCTCGTCGTTTGTAGGTTTTGTTCTCGTTTGACACCCACCGCTAGATACCACCGTCAATTGATTATGGCCCTCCATCCACAGTCTTTTCGGGTCGACAGGTGGTGTCTGTTCGGTACAAAGATGTCCCTTCTAAGAGAGCTTGGCGACAGCTCGTCGCGTCTGACGCAAGCACACTGGTTGTCCGATCACCAATCTACGGCCCATCGGACATCCAGTCGGATACGTTGTATATAGGTAAGTCTTGTCGCCATGTGCAATGATCCACCATGGCGGCTGACTGCAAACTTGGATTGCATTTGGTATTTGGCATTTGTTGGAATTCTTCGAGTATGGTATCGGATCGTTTCATGTCCAGCGAGCCTATGCCCCTGTTGACACTCTTAGTTTCTTGTTAAAACCATCCGTCCACGAAGAAACTTGACATTCCAAGATAGGAAGATACGACTCACAGACCGTTAACCAACCGTCGACAATAGATCAGCATCGAGATGTCCCGTCTATAGCATAAATTCATGTCAAGACGACGACCAGTCTGTGGCTCAACAAGGCATGATGACTGGGGCTCGTTGGGAGGGCCATCACCCACCAGCATCGAGATGACTGCAGGTACTCATCGACGGCGCGAGGGCTCTTACGCCGACAACACATATAGGAAGTGGAGACTCTCACAGGAACTGTCTCTATAGGCACAAAATGAACCCCCAAAAAGAGAAACAAGCGAAGCAAGTGCGTGGGGGAGAGGCATCGCTCCTTCCATTCCTGTCCGGACGTCGCACTAGTACTCGACCCGGGAACACGGGACGCGCAGGGAGTTCTACGCTCTGGTCGAGGATTCGCCGGGTGCGAGAATATTCGGCTTTTCGTGTGTGCGGTGTGTGTGCTTCCTGTACTCCACGACAATCGTGCTTTTACGTGCGTATATTTGATTTGAATTTGCTGCCCTTCCTGGCGTGATTTCTTCCCAACAAAACTGCCTCTGACACTACCCTTCAGCTGTCGTCTTTGCTTACCTTTGAATTCACCCTCAACTTATTTATAGGCACGGAACATACAACACAAAGCCGAATTCTACACGCCGGCCGAAAGGCTTCATCTTCCTCGGCAACAATGTACAAAGTTTGTCCGATCCTCAACAAGGGGCATGGCTTCGTTGCCACGGCTTCCATTGCCAAAGGTACCCGCATCTTGAACGAGGCTCCGTTGCTCGTTTTCGACAAGCTTCTACCCGTGCTGCACAAGGGACCGCCGTATGACGAAGACCTGATGAGCGAAGTGCTCGAAAAAGCAGTCCATCTCAACGACGACGAGCGTGCTACCTTGGGCGCCCTGGAAACTGTATACCACGGCACGACCCCGGCTGAACAGCTGGTCGGCATCCTCTGCACGGTGGGCATTGTCATGGGGATGAGGGGCGACACCGATGCCCAGGTCGGGTACTTCCCGCATGCGTCGTTTCTCAACCACGACTGCCGGCCAAACGCGTTCTGGAGCTGGAACGCGTCGACGGGGCGTCTGCGGGTCCATGCCGTGCGCCCCATTCAGCCGGGCGAGGAGATCACCGTGTCGTACTTGGACTCGACCCAGGCCTAGCTGGCCCGCGGCGAGATCCTGCGGGGCGACTTTCGCTTCATCTGCGACTGCAAGACGTGCCAGCTGCCCCTGATGGAGATGGCGGCGCTCAACGCGCTCGTGCAGCGGAGCATTAACCTCACCAACGACATTACAACGCGCATGCGCAACGGCGCAGACGTCCAGCTGCCGCATCGGGTGCTGAGGCTCATCCGTACGCTCGTTGCCCTCAAGAAGGACCCCGACATGCCCATTGTCGGCCAGGAGCTCGGCAGCGCCTACCTCGCGGGCGCCAACGTGTGCCTCCGCAACGGCGACTACGAGCGCGGCTGTGCGTTTCTGCGCGCCGTCATGAAGGAGCTGGAGGTCACTGGCGGCAAGGACGATCCGTCCATTGCTCACTACAAGGCTGTCATCGAGAACCCGGCGATTGAGCCGACCTACGGCGAGACCAGCCTGTGGATCGAGCCGGTGCCGGCCGACGCGCCCAGGCCCGTCCGGCGGGGCCGCATTTGGAACCGGGACTTTCGCGCCTTTGAAAACTGGGTGTGGGCCCGCGCCGAGTGGGTGCCGCCCCTGTCCGCGCGCGCCCGGTTTCTTCCCCTGATGCGGCTCCCCGTGAACAACACGGTCAACTACGTATTCCACGACGGCGAGGACGCCAGCCTCATGCCCATCTTCCATCGCCACTGGGCCTATGCGGGCGAGATTGTCCGCGTGGTCCCTGCGCCGGTGTGGACCATCTATACGCGCGACGACGACGGCAAGGAAGCTGCCTTTTGCGTGGTCCCGGACAAAGAGGGCCAGTGGATTGACGCGCGTCTCTACCTGCCCGGGCAGACCTTTATTGCCATGTACGAGACCTGGTCGGGCGACGAATATCGCGAGCTGACTCTCAAGCACAAGGTGCCGGTCAGCGCGACCAAGGTGAGTTTGTGTTGGTTGGTGTTTGTTCTCGTACAAGTCGACAGGCATGTAACAAAAAAAGGCGTTTCTCGACTAACCGACTTGTCCCTCTCCACAGACTGTGAAAATGCCCCTCTCGTCCTTCTTCCAGCTCGTCGACAGCTTCAACGCCGTCTGGCCATCGGGCAACAAGGGCCCCACGCTCTGCGAAGTGTGCCGTCGCCAGATTGAGGGCTACGAATATCTGAAGAAAGGCTGTCTCCGGTGCTACTCGGCCTTTTACTGTAGCCAGGACTGCCTCCGCGCCGGCCGGTCCCAGGGCGTCCACGAGACCAAGTGCATCTTTCTGCAGGACTACGACATCAAGTGCCTGCTGCACGCCGACTGGACCTGTTTTGTGCGGCCCATTTCCTTTCCCGTGCCGCATCCGGTGTAGACGAGGAGACGAACGTGGCGGCGTGAGACAGCCTTGCAGGTCATGCAAAAAAGGATCCATATATCTACACAAGTGTGTAGAATGTCTTGACGTTGTTTGTTATTTGATCACGGAGAAGCATACGCATTTGGACGAGATTGGCCTCATTGAATGTGGTGAGAGTGTCGAGGAAGCGTCGAGGTGTCGAGTGGGATTTCGGGGAAGTCCTAAACGTTGAAATATTCTCATGTAGACTGGCAACACTGCCATATCACAGTACCATGTAAGTAGGCTATGCGAAATGAGAGGTGGTATAACCGTGGAGATTCGAGGCACCACTAGAGCACAAGTATGTTGTCATGTGTAATTAGACGATACTTTTGCAACGGCTTCCGTTCACAGTTTATCTCTACATATACCGCCCAAACCAATTACGACCAATTGGAAGCAAGCACCTACAGAATTTTTGGTGTCATAACAGTAGCGATGTGCAATGTCATCTTATCATCTGCGATGTCGCTGTGACGCGATACTGTCGCAATCCTGCGGCCGGCAATAAACCGTTTGCGGGGCCAAAATCTCCGTCTCGGCAAAACCACCGCTTGGTCGTCTTATGATCACCAGCAGCTCAATGCGCCGTGACTCTATCTCACCGCCATCTGCAGACGCTTACAGTTGCTTTACGGGCGTCATATATCCGCCTTATAACCATCCAACTCTGCTAGCAAGCGGCTGCAACATGAGGCCGGCATTGAGGACTGGAAGGCGGGAGCGGCGATGAGCGAAGGAGGTACTATTGCGCGAGAATAACCCGAACAGGCCGCTAAAGAGTCAAGCTCTCGCGAGCGCTGGTGCCGTTATGGAGCAGAGTGGAGACTTGAGTCTCTATCACTTGATGCAGTCCCCTAGACTTTCAGGGACGGAAATTGTCCCATTCCGAATCGGCCATACGACGCTCTTTTCCACGAGCGACACCCGCAACTGACGAGACTGGTACCCGAATTGGAGGCCGAGGGGACGGGAAGGACGAGCAAGACAACTTGATCGTCTCGCTGTCAGGCTTTCCGCGTTCTCTCTCCAGTGCCGACTAATCGCCCAGAATCATTATGACGAGCGACACAGGGTCGACCACCGACAGCGGCCGACGTTCCAGCGGGAGCCCAAGGCCGGCCAACACCAAGAACGAAGTCGGGTTGGAAGACCTGTCAGCAACCGATCGGGATGCAGAGGTCGTCCCATCAAGCGACGTGGACGCCATAACGGTGGCCGACGCACACGAGACCGCCGACGTGCCTCCACATGAACCATCGAGAGGCACTCTTCTGGGCCGCATCGGGCACATCCTCTCGTGGACGCCACGCTCGTGCCGTTACGACCCCGAAAACCCGCCTGAATTTACACTTGGATTGAATTTTTTGTTTTCGTTTGTGCGTGTACCTCCCAAAACGTGCGTGCAGACAAGGTCGCGTCCGTCCACACTGACAGTTGCAGGCAACCACGGCGACGGTCGGCAACCTCTACTACAACCAGCCGATTTTGTACCAGATGGCCGACACCTTCCAGGTGTCGTTTGAGCACGCCTCCAGCATCGCCACGCTTATGCAGGCCGGCTACGCGGGCGGCATCGTCCTCCTGTGCCCGCTGGCCGATGTCCTGCCGCGCCGGCCGTACATTCTGTGCCTGGTCGCGGTCACCGCGCTCGCGTGGATCGGGCTGTGCGTGACGCACTCGTTTGCGGCGTTTGCGGCGCTGTCCTGCCTCTGCGGCTTTACGACGGTCACGCCGCAGCTGATGCTGCCGCTCGTGGGCGACCTGGCGCCGCCCCACCGGCGGGCCACCGCGGTGGCCATTGTGGTGTCGGGCCTGTCGCTGGGCATGATGGTGGCGCGGCTGCTGGCTGGCGTGGTGGCCAACTACACGTCGTGGCGCAACGTGTACTGGTTCAGCTTCGGCGCGCAGGCGGCCGTGTTCGCCTCGCTCTTGGTCTGGATGCCCGACTACCCGACCAAGAACGCGCGGCGAGGCGCAGCGAACGAGAACGGCATGGATGGCAGGGACGGCACCGGCGTGGGCCGGGCAGTGCGCCGGGCGCTGCGTTACGGCACGGTGCTGTACGGCGGCATGGCCGTGCTCGTGGTCCGGCACCCGGCGCTGCTGCAAGCGTGCCTCGTCGTGTTCTGCCACAGCGCCGTGTTCACGAGCTACTGGACCACGCTGTCGTTTCTGCTCGCCTCGCCGCCCTACGCGTACCCGTCCGTGGCCATTGGTCTCTTTGGCCTCATTGGCATCGTGGTCATTTGCCTGGGCCCGCTGTACGGCCGCTTTGTCATTGAGCGCATCGTGGCCGTCGCGGCCGTGCTGCTCGGCACCAGTCTGGAGCTCGTTGGCGTGGGCATCGGCGTCGGCATCGGCCCGTTTTGCATCGCCGGCCCCGTCCTGCAGGCCGTCCTCATCGACTTTGGCAACCAGGCCTCCAACATTGCCCTGCGCGCGTCCATCTACGGGCTCGCGCCCACGTCACAGAACCGCGTCAACGCCGCCTACATGATTGCGTCGTTTGTGGGCCAGCTGACGGGCACGTCGGCCGGCAACCGACTGTACGCCATGGGCGGCTGGCGCTACAGCGGCGGACTGAGTATCGGCCTGCTGTCCGTTGCCATCCTGGTCTGTGTGGCCCGCGGTCCGCGCGAGACGGGGTGGGTCGGTTGGCGCGGCGGCTGGTCCATCCGCAAGGATGCAACAAAAGTGGCGGAGCCAGGCGGCGAGGCGGGTGTTGTGTCCGAAGCGGACGTTACTCGGACAGCAGCAGTGTTGACAGACACCAAAAAAGTATAAAAACATGTCATACAGACGGTCAACCAGCAGGTCGAAAGTCCACATCGTATAATGTATATAGTCACATCCGGCGTATATAGAAAGCATATAGATAATCGAAAAAAAGAAGTACACGGCATTTCAGTAATCGCTGACGCAAGGCAAACAATTGGGCAACAGCAGCATGGATAGTCCTCTCTCAACAATGTGCTGGGGCGTCGTCGAACCGGCCGACGAGAAAGCCGCCAAGGAACAAGCCCGCGATCACCGAGGCAAAGTAGCCCACGTTCATTGTCATGACGGCGATCATCCTACTGTTGTTAGTGACTGTGTGCACGTGCCAGTCGGCAAGAAGTCTGCAAGAGGGGCGGGAACTCCATACAGTAGATAGCTGATGCCGCCGGTAATGGCTTCAACGACGCCGCGCACCAGCTCGCGCCCGGCATTGAACCGCCGCAGCGACGCCTTTTCCTTTTCGACGTCCACGGCGGACGCGTGCCCCGGAAGATGCGTGCGGGCGAAGATGGCCGCGCGGAAGGCCACGAGGGCGCGGTAGATGACGGTGAGCACGATGAGGAAGATGCAGGTGCCGGCGTATTGGCCCGTGGTCGCGGGCGTCCAGGCGGTCGAGTAGAGCGGCGTCACGAGGGAGTAGAAGAAGGTCATGCTCATCATGGACATGCCCATGAGGTCCGAGGACGAGCCAGACATGGACATGGGCATGGCCGTCGGCGTGGCGGAGGCCATGGCCATGGTCGTTGTGGAAGTCATTGTGCGTGTGGGTTGTGGTGTTGTGGTGGTGTTTTGGGGTAGGACAGACTAGACTGTAGACGGATGATATCAAAATGGACTCGATGTCGCGTGGAAACTGTCTCGGGCGCTTATTTTGTAGTAGATGTCGGCGTGAGGGTGAGCACGTTCTGTATACGTTCTAGTTGCCGCGACGCTGAGCACGTTTCTTTGGATGTTTGATGGCGGTGATGAGATCGGATCACGTCGCAGCCGATGGATGGCATAAGGATGCACAACAGAGACGAAAACACAGCTGAGAAAGTTAGAGAAGATTAACAAGACCAGACGAAAGAGAAGAGCAAGAAAGAGTCGTCGCCCTGCCACGCAAATACTGCCTCACATTGATCCTCTCAAGGACGTCCGTCAGAGCTGGCCATGCGACCTTTGGCCATTTTGGCAGGGCTCACGGCTCTGTGGGCATTACAGTGGCCATAGCCCATGCTCCAACAAGTGTTCTCCATTTTACTCCATCCATGTGCAGATGTCAACAGAGCCTTGTGGGTCGGAAGGAATCGACGCCAATCAAAACCTGCTCATTCTGACTCGCATCGACGCGGGATCCGTCCAAACCCATGTTTCGGAGAGCTAAAGCATCAAAAAATTGGTTCTAAAAGCAGTCACAGTGACAGCGTTCCCGTCCGTGGTCCGTCTCCCGCTGCTCGTTGCCCTTTTTGGTAAGGCAGCCGAAACATGCTCAGACCCTGAGCGGCCGCGGAGTGAATTGTGAAGCTGACATTGTCCTCGCCGGCCCTCAAAAACCGGGTACGTGGGTGCTTTTCCTCCCTGCACAAGTTGCCCACGAAACTTGCTCAATATGTCTCAAGCGTTCTGGAGAGTTGCATCGGCCACAGAAGGATCGGTCGAGCGTCGTATGAATTACATACTGCGTTCACTTCCTCCGTGGACGAGATGCGGCAAGGTTGTGTTTCTTTCATTCCAATTTTCGTCGTATTTTCAGCGCAAACGCGCTCACTGGATACCGACATAGATCCGCCGCATCAACTCATGCGTGACATATGAATACTTTGCTATTTTCTACTTTGCACTTATGAAGACAAGACATTGTCTTTTCGTCAACGTTTCACAGTTGACATCTTGACAGGTCTTCGCCACGCGCGTCCCACAGTCGGACAAACGATCAACACAGCCCTTCAGCCCTGCGGCTCCGTCCTCTTCGCGGGACACAACACCCATCATGGCACGCATCGCATTGTCACGGCTGCTTGCCATTGTGCCGCTGCTCTCGCTTGTCTCGGTCTCCGTCGTGTCGGCCCAGACCGGCACCGGCATCATCGGCTATGGCATCTCGTTCTGGCAGGACCTGTGCTGCCAGGCATGCGCCGACTCGCTGTCGGCCCTCTACCTCAACTGCACGACATTCAGCGCCGGCGACATGGGCGGCGACGGCATGGACATGGGCGGCGACGACATGGGCGGCATGCTGATGGGCACGACGAGCGACGCGTGCCGCGCGAGCAACACGCCGTGGCTGCAGACGATGGCGTACTGTATCCAGGCCAACTGCGACGCGCACGGTTACACGGACGCGGACAAGCAGGCGGCGTGTTTTGTGGCGCATGCGCTGGGCGGCGACGCCGCGGGGCCCTCGTACCAAGACAGCCTGCCGGCGACGGCACCGACGGCCGAGCTCGATGCCGCGGCCGTGTGGCTCAACGCGACGAGCCTCGTCAACGCCGATCTGTACGCCTCGACGTACGGCAGCGAGGGCAACTTTGCCGAGTCGGAGTACTACCACACAAAATACGCGTAAGGACGACCCAAGGTGTGCTATAGAACCGGATTCTCCTAATGATATGCTGACACCGTCAGAATGGTCGTGTACTTGACGACGATTGGCATCATCGTGGCCTGCGGGCTGTTTGCCCAGCTGCGCGGCGCGCTCCCGGCCTTTGAGCGCCGGCTGCAGGTCTCCCGCGTCTGGTCCGCGCTCCAGCAGCACGTCGGCCTCCCGGCGCTCTTGGGCCGCGTCTCCCGCCACCACGAGCCATCGTTCGGCGGCTTTGGCTATGTGCCGAGCCGCGCGCTCAGCCTGTTCATCGGCGTCTATCTCGTGCTCAACATTGTCCTGTGCTGCGTCTCCTTCTCGACCTTTGCGCCCAACATCTTCTGGCACTCGCCGCAGTTCAACCTGTGCGAGTTTGTCGGCAACCGCACCGGCACGCTGAGCCTCGTCAACCTGAGCATGGCCGTGCTGTTTGCCGGCCGCAACAACCTGCTGCTGGCGCTCACCGGCTGGAGCCAGTCCACGTTTCTGGCGCTGCACCGCTGGGCCGCGCGCGTCGCCGCCGTCCAGGCCGTCGTGCACTCCATTGTCTACACCTATGCGTACTATACACCCGGTTATGCGGGCGCCGCCGCCTACGCCGCCGAGGTCGCCATGCCCTTCTACTGGTGGGGCATCGTCGGCACCATTGCGTTTTGCCTGGCGGCGGGCCTGGCCATCCTGCCGCTGCGCACGCGCTGGTACGAGATCTTCTTGGTCGTGCACATCGCGCTCGCCATCCTCGTGCTCGTCGGCTGCTGGTACCACCTGGTGCCGCACTTTGGCTACATCTACGGCTACCAGACCTGGCTGTACATTACGTTTGCCTTTTGGGCCTTTGACCGCGCCGTGCGTGTCGGTCGCATCTTGTACTACAGCCGCCTCTACATGGGCCGACTCCGCCCGGCGCAGCACCAGCACCAGCAGCAGGCCACGGTCGAGGCCGTGCCGGGATCGGCCAACCTTGTGCACGTCACCGTCTACCCGCGGACTTGGCACTACGGCCCCGGCCAGCACGCGTTCCTCTATTTTCCGAGCCTCGGCTGGGGCAAAGGCTGGGAGAGCCATCCGTTCAGCGTGGCGGCCTGGAACGACAGCGACACGCGCCCACCGGGACAGTCGCCGTCGCTGCGCCGCGACCACGGCCAGCGTCGGGCGGATGCAGCCTCTGGTGCGGCTGGTGACCCGACGCGCGGATCGTCGTCCTCCGACGGCGCCGGCGTCGATGAAATCACCGAGGTCCCCGACAAGGCCGACCTGACATCGCAAGTGGCCACCACGCCAGACGAAAAGGAGGCATCTGTCCAAGTGCAGTCCCTTCCTCACCACCACAACCATCACCACGACCAAGGACAGAGCGCCACCACCGCCCGTCCTTCGGTCGAGTTTCTGATCCGCACCCAGGACGGCATGACCGCCTGGCTGCGTGACCACGCGGCCACCGGCCTCGGACGCGCCATTGACTTGCCGCTCTACACCGAAGGACCCTATGCCGGACACCGCGCCACGCTGCAGCCGCTCAAGGCAGCCGACACCGTCCTCTGCGTCGTGGGCGGCATCGGCATCACCCATGCCTTGGGCATCCTGCAAGAGTACGTGTCGACGGCCCAGGGTCGCGCTGTCGGCGGCGAAAGTGAAGTCGGCGAGTCGGGACACACCTCCACGATCATGCCGCGCGCCACACGCTTCATCCTCGCCTGGTCGGCCCACGAAGCCGCCCTCCTCGGCCACGTCCAGGAGCGCTTCCTCGTCCCGGCCGCCCACGTCGTGGGGCTGGAGTATCGCTTCTGGTGCACGAGCCCGGTAGCTGGCGCCGGCAAGCTCGCCGCCACGCCAGGTCGGATGGACGTGGCGGCCGTTGTCCGGTCGTCGCTCGAAGTCGGTCGCGTCACGACGGTCGTGGTCTGTGGTCCAGGCGCCATGGCCGACGTGGCCAACCGCGCCGTGGTCCAAGCGGTCCGCGACGGCTTCCACGTCGACAGCATCGAGGAGAGCTTCAAGTGGTGATACGGCTGGAGGAGCAGTACTAGCAGAGATACCCATGTCGATACGCAAATTGAAATACGTCGTTCTTTTCGTGAACCAGAGTCCTTTTCCAATACAATATATTGCAGCGTCAGCCTCCAGGATCTGGCCCCATGAGGCGTTTCCATGAATATGGAGCCGTCCGTCGCCACCATACGCGGCTTGATATGATTCGGGGTGATCACAAGTGACCTGGTACTATAAAAAATGTACTACATTCCCCACGTTCTACACAGACAAGCTGACCGATCTTTTGCAAGGCAGTGCCATTCAGCCCCATCCTTTGTAATGGCTAGATCCGGTCCTCTATTAAATTGGATACACTTTCTGCAAACATCATTGACGAACGGGACCGTCTCCTGGATAAATGGATAAACAGTCCGTCCCGTTTGCACTTCGTGGACCTTTACGCAAAACCGGGGACAGACGATTTGCACCAAACAAGGCTGAGTATGACTCGATGTTTATTTATATCAAAACCATTCGAACGGCGAGCCGAATTGACATCAAAGCATCGGCATGCCGTTGAAAGGAACGGGGTCATGTTTATCTCACATCTGCTTTGCATCGCCACCCGTACACTGCTCACAGCTGCCGCTCACCACAGGATGCTGGTTCCGCAATGTTACGATGCAGGAAAGGCGTCAAGAAATGGAACGTCTCCCATCGTGTCGTGAGGTCCAGGCGTGTATCTTTCGTATCACTGGAGACGTGGCTGCTGACTTGGTTCCACATGGCTGCGCCGGTGCTGCAGCCCAGCTGCTGATGTGCGATGGAGGATGGTCCTATGTAGAATATCACGACCAGGCCATCTAGGACAAAGTAGAACAAAATTGATATAAATATCTACGCTTCGTCCCTGTTTGTCAAAGAAGAAGCTCGTCAATGCACAACTCACAATCATACAGCCTCCAACACAGCTCCTTTCTCACAAACCGACTTACCACAATTCACCAATTCCCCCACATCCACCAACATGAAGTCTTCCGTTCTTGTTCTTGCGGCTGCTGCCCTGCTTCCCTCGGCCATGGCCGCCAAGCCCAAGCTGAACCAGTATGCGACTATGGATGACTGGTACGTTTGGAAGCGGATGGACTTCACATGAAACAGAATGCATCATCGACCCCTTCTCTTCTAACACGTCTAGCAACAACGACCGCAACATCCTGTTTCATGCCGCACCCGTCTCGGGCCGCTGCTACAACCTGGACGGCAAGACCGGTGCCTTCTTCTGGGCCACGGGAGGCATGCTAAACCCGCGCGGTATGTGTCCCCGCGGAATGAATGGACAAAGACGAAAGTGGAGACATGCTGACATGCGATTTAGTTTACTACGGGTCGAACTGCAACGGCATTGAAGACCCGCTGTCGACGAATGGCCGCTGCTTCAACAAGGGGCCCTACAACTCGTTCAAGATGTGGTAAATGTTGTGTCGTTGTGACTGTTGCTGTGCGCGGCGTGTCATAGGCTTTACGGATGGAGGGATATTAGGCGAACAGAGGTTCCAATTCAGGCAAGACTACATAGCAAACTGCCACGGTATCACCACTATATCGTCACATCCTTTCCACCTCCACGCACGTATCACTTTGTGTAGTGCTGCGTAAAGTCGTACCGCACGTCCAGGGCGCCTTTGAGAATCGCCTTGGTCGCCTCCGCGTCGCCGTCCGCCTTGGCGAGGATCTGCATAAACTCGTCCCGTTCGAAACGCGTGGCCGGATCGGCGTCGGACACGCGCCGAAAGTTCTCCGACGAGATGGGGTCGATGATGGTCTTCCACTTCTCGATGCGCTTCTCGCTGTAGACGTCCAAAATCGACTCGTCGGCGCGCCCGTCCCAGATGCCGACCAAGCAGTCGGTGAGGCCGCCGACGTCGACAAAGCCGCCCGTGATCCCGAGCCCGCCCCAGGGGTTGCAGAGGTGCGCGGCGTCGGCGGCCAGCAGCACGCGGCCGACGCGGAACCTGGGCGCGCAGCGCTGGTGCATCTTGTAAGGGGCGAAATTGATCGTCTTGTACTCGTGGGGCGCCGGGTGGCCCGGCAGCATGGCTGCAAACTTCCAGGCCTGGCGCTCCAGGTACTGCTCGCGCGTGAGGCCGGGGGTCTCGCCGTACGTGACACGGTACAGGCCGTCGGCGGTGATTTTGGCGGCCATCTGGCGGCGGGCGGTGAGCGGGCCGGGGTATTACAAAAGGGAAGGGGGACGCGGGGAGAGGGAGGACCTACAAAAAAGTGCTCCGGGTGGATGATAAAGTTGGCGTCGTCAAAGCCAAACTTGCCGGCAAAATCGTAGTACGTGTTCGTCGCAATGATCTGGGCGTCCCACGTTGTGCCCGGGTACTCGCTGCCAAAGAGGCTCTTGCGCACAATGCTGTTGGCGCCGTCGCAGCCCACGACGTAGTCGGCCGCGATGCGCACCGTCTCGGCCACCGTGGCCTTGGCCGGGTCGAGGTCGCCGGCCAGCACCTCCACCTCGGCCCACGCCGATGCTGCGTCTTGGTCGACCTTGGTCACGCGGTGCCGCCAGCTGACCTGCCCCCGGTACTTGCTCACAAACATGTCCAGCAGCAGCGCGTCCAGGTCCTGCATCGGCAGACACGCCGTGCGCAGGTCCGTCGTCACCGTCGTCGCCGCGTCGCCCGCATCCCGGAGCACGCTGCCGTCGAAGCCCGCAATTTGCTTGTGGTCGGTAAACCGGCGCCAGTACATGGAGTTGAGGCGCATGCCGCCGTTCTGCTCAAGAATGTCCATGATGCCGGCGCGCGCCAGCTCCGGAATCGCCGGCGGGCCGTAGTGTGCCGCGCGCGGCTGCTGGTCGAGCTCGTGGGACGCCTCGACGATGTGGACGGGGATGCCGTGTTGGGACAGCAGTACGGCGAGGAGAAGGCCCGAAGGACCGGCGCCGACAATGAGGACCTGGGTGTTGTGGTGGGATCATGGTCAGCGAACAGATGATGATGGTGGTATGCCCATCAGATGTTTACCTTTTTGAATGGTCGGCCTGCCACGGAATCGGCCATGTTGATTATATTAGGGCTGGAAATGTTCTCGTCTTCCCGTGTTTATTGTGTCTATCTAAAAAAACGTTATAAATGATTGTCCAGCGAAGCGAAGCAGGAAAAGGGAAGAACCAGGAAGAGCAAGCGACGGAGCGGGATCTAGACGTCCCCTCGTTCTAATCAGTCAACATCTATGCATCCGTCACTGTGCTTGCTCTAGTGCGCCACGATCTCGCGCGGCAGAGGTTCTCCAGCATTTTCCCATATTTCTCCATATTTCCCCGCACGCCAACGTCGACATGAGTCCGATCAAGAAGCCGTTGACACAAGGTCCTTGCTGCCGGGTTGTCGTCGGATCTTCTGATTTGCGCAGGGCGACATGCGACAGTTGAATGAATATGAATGAGATGCCAACGTCTGTTGGATACCTTCTTCATCAGTCTAATTATGACCTGCATGTTGAACGGCTTATTTCGCTGTCCAGATTTGTCAAAGTCAGTGTGCAGTCCTCCCCGGACTTAGCTTCCATCGGCGCGTATGAGCCGCGGTGTTCTAGATGTGGCCGTTCCGTCACGGCATAGCCACGACACAAAACACATTAAGGTGCAATCCATCGGTACGCAATAATAGCTCGCAGAGTCTCAGAAATGTCATGCAGCGTAGTATTGAAGTTCTGCGGATGCTCGGTTCGGAACGGCAATGCTGCCGACCTGGTCCTTGAGTAGGAGACATAGACATGATATATGCTGATGCTCACCCAGAATTTGTGTCGTATTTAACAGAGGCAATAACCGTAAGGCACCAATAATAAAATAATTACTTAGTATTATCAATATTATGCGCAAATGAGCCCTCTCGTTTGCTAACCAGTAACTGCAACAGGTAATCTTAATACTCGTGGTGTTATAAGACGTACCTGGAACTGCACACCTGCGACGGTGGTGGCGTAGAACATCACCACAAACTACAAAAGCCTTACCAGCCTCATATCTGCCACGTACGGCCATAGATAAAGGAAAATACGGGATCCCGTCCGCTCTCCCCTAGTCAAACCTTTAATCGGCGGATTAGTAGTTGGGTCGGTGACGACCAGCGAATACCCGCTGCTGTACGTTTTTTCTTTTTTTTGAGGGGGGTAGTGCATTACAATGCGTCGAAGAAAAGACACAGCTACAACTCAATCATTGACGATATAATCTTCATAGTAAAGGAGCCTCCTGCAATATAATGCTGTTGTGCGATATTGCAAATGCTCTGTACAATTCTGCTTACGGGAACCCGTGACCCACTATATGACCAGAGAGCATCTGACAGCCTGTTTTTAACCTTCTCGTGACACACGGCGCCAATGCATCTACCTCGACGCGTTAACAAGCGTGTCATATTGCTTCAGATGTCCACAAATGACTACAGCGGCAACGAACCTTTTGCGCAGCCTCTGCCTGGTCGCGCTCATGCTGCTCAGCGGCATCTGGGCCACACTCGGCCGTCCCAAAGCCATGTTTGACGCGCTTCTCGCTCCATTCAGCGTGCGGCACTGGCGACGCCATATCCAGTATAAAGTGGACCTCTACTACGCGAGGCTGACCAAAGACGGTCTGCAACGGCAGCTTCGATCGGAACTCGTTGCAGATTACGGCAACGATGCTCTGATTACGGCTCTGCGAGACGCGTCAAGAAGAGCGGGCGCTCTGTACCGCGGCTTTATGAGGTTTGCCGTGACCGATCCATCAACGGGACGGCGTGGTAAGTCATGTCGAACCTCTCCATAATAAGTACAGCCCAGGTCTACAGTCCAGGTCAACTCACTATCAAGTATGGGGCAAACACGAATTCTCTGCGTTTGTCGGACAGACTATGGGGCCACATACCAACGCGGCAGACATCCTGTGGCGTTGTCTCTGTTACAATGCACGATACCCGTTCACAGACGTTCAGCCAGGGGCAGACGACCCGCTACTCGATCTGGCTGACTGGACCCAAGCCGTTTCCCTCTTGGCCACAGACGCACACCAGAGCGTGGGCCGCAACCTAGAACAGCTGTCTGTATACGGCACGACCAGAAACGGTGTCTGGCGCAGGTTTGCCAGTCTCGCAATACAAACGACATCCACCACGAACACCCAAGATGCAAACGGCGGAATCACCGACGACGTCTGGTTGCCACCGGATGAACTGGAAAACGTCGCCGAGATTGTGGCCACCCTGCTGCCGGTGGACATGCCTGTCGTTGGCCCTCTGCTGTCGCAAATTCGTCTCGACGTGCAGAAAGCATTGGGCTGGAACGCATCCGCCACACGGTCTTGTAACTTTGTCATTCCGCACGACGAGATCGCCCGTCTACTCTGTGCCATCTTACGCGTTCGCAAGCCAGACGTCTGGTGTGAACGCCTTGGCAGTCAAAACGGGATGGGCTTCGCCAATGCCAGCGGTTCCAAGTATTACGAAGCTGTAGCACGCAGTCTTCTTTTAGTTGGCGGTATTCACGGAGACGCCCCGATCTCCTTTGATGCATTTCACGCCTTGTCGACTGACACCACAAAGGCATGGTCGCTGGACTGGGAAATAACACTGCTCTGGCGCACCCTTTTCTCGCAACTTCTGGCCCATGCCGACGGTCACTTCGATGACACTTCGTTGCTGCCTCTTGCTTCCCAGGCAATCAACTTTCTTCATCCTATGTCACAGACCGGCATGGATCACCACCTACACCGGCCGATGACTCTGACGTGCGTCTCAGACGGCTGTGCCGACGTCCTCCGGGCACTCACTTGGCCGTACCAGTCAAAGCTAGTTGTTGTCTACGGAGCCTGTTCCCACGGCCCGCAAATCGGCCAGGCGGCCGCGTATGTCATCATGACATCGTCACCGTTGTGGTGCACCTATATGACCGGTGCTGTTGACGACTTTTATGTCGACGACAAGCATCTCCTGTTTGAACTGGCACCCAACCCTCGCGTGATGCAATATTGCTCACCACCAAACACGGCCACATTTTCCGAGATTGTGGACGTGTCCTCGCCGGACATTGTCACTTTTGGACACAAAAACGGTCGTGGCCTCTCCTTGAACTTCAGCACACGTCTGGTAACGTTATCGTACGAGACAGAAGACCACACACAAAACCACGGCGGCTACGGCGAGATACCCATCGGCCCGCACCAAACACCTCCGGATCCTTTACTTATTCAAAAGTCATGGACATCATCTGCACACATCGAAAGAATCGAGGTGTACAGTGGAACAACCGGAGTGTCAGTAGACCTTTGCAGCCAACGGCGGGTTGCTACATAATACAACATCATCCACGTCGAACCCCAATATGGCCGTGAACCTCACACAAGCGCGTGGCGACCGCGAACTAGTCGTATGAAGGCCGCAGTCTCGTGCATTGGCGGGGTGTCGTGGAGTGCAGTTACGAGCAGCGAGCAGCGGGCGAGCATTCTTTCTGTCGACGGGACGCTGAAGAAGCAGAAAACAAGGAGAGTGCGTGTAGCAGCCGTATAGACGAAATCACAATTCAAATACCAGCGAATGCCTTTACGGCAAGCTATGGGGGGGAGACCAGCACTCGGCACCAATAACATGATTATCCAGATCCAGTACCAAGCACGGGGAACAGTGCTATTCGCCGCCTCGTCGTCCTCTTCATACAGTGAACGGAACAATTTTATGCGCGGTCGCTGTGTACTCAACCGATCTGTAAGATTCCAGGGATGGAAACAGAATGTGTTCTTGAACTCCAATGGAGAAATAAAAAGACACACAAGAGCGGACAGAATCAGGATAAAGTGTGCCCGAAGCGAGAAACAGAATTGGGAAAGAAATAAAAAAGTCATTACAAGCACATGAAAGGCAACGTGATGACTGAAACGGGATGCATATGGCTCTTCTTCCAATACAAAAGAAACAGCAGTCCACATGACCAACGCTCATTCGTGGAAACGGACATCGTGGTGAGCCCTCTCATTGCTGGAAAATCCAACAGCACAGGGGGCGCTGATTACATTACCGCCGTAGACAACGGCCTCTATGAGAAGAAAAGGAATTGGAATTGGGGTAAAACCAAAAGAAAGTGTGGAGGGGACGACAGCGCCAGAGGTGGCCCAGTTTGGGATTAGGGAGTCTCTGTCTGGGAAAACCCATCTGGTGGAAGACTAAATTGGTCTCCGCGACACGTTGTACTGTGTCAGGGACCTGACCGACCCCATGGAGTGAGAGTGGAAAGTGTTATTGGCAGTTCCTTGACCTTATCAGATGTTATGAGAATGTCAACAGCACATCGTGTGATATTTAAAGGTTCGGATGGTAAAGCCGACTACCTGCAGTTGCCGTGGCGTTTGTGGTGTTGTTCCCACTTGACTCGGTCCGTGATAATAGCTCCTTCTGTGCCTCTCCCGTGCCGCATTAAATTGGCTGTTGACGGCCGGATCCGTGAGGAAACATGTTTAATTTGCACAGGGCTGGAATCGATTGGCAGACACACCACAAGGCTGAAAGCCGTGTTGGATTTGTTCAAAGTTTGTTATGAATGATCGAAATAACGAAACGTCGTTGGAATAGCTGTGCACTGTTTTCATTACAATAGTGCGTGTCCAAAGGAATTCGCTACGTTTACACTCTGCAACCAAGCTAATCCAATCCAGCGCGCTGTACGATTTAAGAATTGCACATGTCTACTTCCAAGAAGGTGACGACGGCTGGAAGGCCAACCCAACATCACACCCACAGCACACCCATGTTCTCCCCGCGTCTCCACACATCTCCATCGTCGTGCACTCCCGCAGCTGACTTTGTTTTGCGCCGGCTTGATGACCGGCTAGGCCGTGGAAGCACGCAGCACGATGTCTAACCTCGCCTTAGTGTTCGTCTCTGTTGCTTGCCAGACGTCGTAGGGTGGCTGCTGCTTACATCCCCGCCATATGTGACGAACAGAGTCTGAAGTTTCTTTTGTTGACACTACTAGGAACAGAGTAATTACACCATACTCTATCTTACGCTTTCCCCAGGAAAGCGACGGGGGCCTCCGCAACCGCCCAAATGCACTAGCTCTCAGCAGCACATGCCACTCACAGTAACTCTGTTTTTCTTTTGACACTGGACCCTTGACCACCAAGCCACAAGACCAGTCGGTAAAATTATCATTGGTGGGATTTCCAATTGATGTCAACTCCCACAAAAAGAGGAGATCCAGATTGAAGCTCGGACTGACACCAAGCAAACCTAATAATATTGGCAAAACGGCTCCCCTAAATCCTTCAATCTGTCACGGCCGTCCCCTTTTGAATTTCTCGAGATCCTCCACGTTCCCCATATTTGCTGTTGATACTGTAGATGCCTCGCGACAATGCTTGGGAAAGGAAAGGAAAAGCCCCAAAACCATCTCTCCGGAGCGGATCTGTTGTGTAAAACACAGAAGCTTGTAAATTTGTAGCAATTGTTTTATTAGAAATCAATGCATTTGGATCCAACAGTTGTGTCCAATGTTGATTGCGTATCTGGACACTGGTCACAGTCCATCGTGACCAATCCAGATCATCTCCAAAGAAACATCACGCTTCACACTGCCGATTGGGCGGCACAGTTGTGCTTCGGGAAAGAGGTACTACGAAAGACCGAGAAAGCGTCACGAAAGAGATACCCAAAGAGACAATAATCTGTAGTCGTGATTCTGGCCTCCCCCCTATCTTTGTAGCCTGTCTTCTCCACGATTTAGTGGCTTCGGCATGCTAGTTCTGCTCCACCAATACAACTGTACACCAGCGCAGTTGGCCAAGACAGAGTGGAACAGGGAGATAGCTCTGGAAATACTACAGCGTCGTCCGCAAAATACAAGAAAAAGGGGGCAAAAGAAAGACTACTTCGTCCAGAGAATGTCCGTCCTTGAGGGGAGCTAGATCGGTGAAAGAGAGGCAGGTTCAAGTGGAGAAGTCGTTCCTTGGGCGTACTACGTAAAGCCAAATGATAGCCAAACAGCCAAAAAGTCTAAAAGTCAGCAGAAAGATACAGCTTCCGTCCGTGACCAACTACGGCGGCGTTGCATCCACGCCAGCTGGGGGTGGTCTACCGACCTTGGTATCGCTTTGCTACGAAGCGACGGTTTCGCTGGGTGTAGTTTTTCCATCGACATACGGACATGCGGATGTGGAGATTCGAAGGCATGGGGGTATGGGGAAGACAGGATGGGGAACTTGGCGAGGGAAGCATACGTAGGAGGACATGGGCAAGCTCACGGCGCAGCGCGAAAGTGGATTTTGTGTTCATAAAGACGGCGTCAATGCCTCATCTACTTTTTTTTTTCTATTTTTCTTTGTTATTTTTTATTTTCCCTATTCTGTTTGTATACCTCATCCACGCGGTAACGATCTGTTGGTTTGTTGCTTCTCGTCGTTGTACTTGAACCTGCCGTCTTCTCTGGGCATTTTGTGTCGTTCAGAGTAGACGCCACTTTGTCGGCCGCTCTTCCCGCGTCGCGAACCCGACCATCACATACCGTCCGACTATATTCCGTCTGGCTCCGGCCTGAACAACCACTCCAAAATGGTTTCCTCCAAGCGCGCGTACAATTGGTATATTTCCATGGTGGCGGCAGGATGCATGGTCCTGTACGGCTATGATGCGTCCGTCTTCAACTCTGTCCAGGGCTCCGACAACTGGCTGGCGTGGTTCGACCTAGATCCGGTAAGTTCTCTGTCGGGCATGCCATTGTCTATCCGGCGTCGTTGCAATTTCCTAACAATGTGCAGAAAAAAGACTCGTACCTGATCGGCCTCATCAACACGGCCTATACGATCGGCGCCATCGTCTCTGGTTTCTTCTTCGGTGGCCCTGTTGCTGACTACTTTGGTCGTCGCGTTGGCATGGGCGTCGGCTGCTTCATCACCATCGTCGCCACCTTCATGCAGACGTTTGCGCCGTACCACAATCTGGGCTGCTTCATCGGCGGTCGCGTGCTGATTGGCCTTGGCCAGGGCATGGCTCTGAGTATGTTTTGCTCCATCTGATGGATGTATACCCGCTGTCTTTGTCCCTAACACGTTTAGCTGCCGGCCCCGTCTACATTGGGGAGATGGCGCCGGCCGAAATCCGCGGCATCATCATGGCCTTCTGGCAGCTCTTTTATTCCGTCGGCTCCTTTATTGCCTACTGGATCAACTACGCCGCGTCGTTGCACCGCGCAAAGCTCGGCGAGTGGGACTGGAAGATCGTTGTCATCTTCCAGCTGCTCGTCCCCACGATCATCATCGTCCTGCTGCCGTTCCAGCCCGAGTCACCGCGCTGGCACATCCAGCGCCACGGGAACATTGAGGGCGCCCGCAAGTCCCTGCACCGCATCCGCGACACGGAGCAGGAGGTCGAGGACGAGATCCTGGTCATCCGTGAGGCCATTGAGTACGAGCGCGAGGCCATTTCCCACGGCTACGCGGCCCTCTTCAAGGATCCCTCGGTCCGCAAGCGTCTGCTGCTCGCCTTTGGCCTCAACATTGGCCAGCAGCTGACGGGGCAGGGCACGCTCAACTCGTACAGCACCGCCATTTACAAGAAGGTCTGGACCAGCACCGCAACCATCAACCTCATCAACGCCCTCAACGCCACCTTCGGCATCCTCTTCACCCTCAACGCCACTTGGACCGCCGACCGCTTTGGGCGCCGCTGGCTGCTTATGGTGGGCGCTGTCGGCATGGGCGTCTCGATGATGGTCGTCTCTGTTGTCGGCCTGACGACGCCCACAGTCAACGGCGCCAAAACGCAGCCCGTCGGCATCTCCATTGTGTTTTTGCTGTTCCTCTTCATCTTCTTCTACAAGCCCACCTGGGGTGCGACCACGTGGATCTGGACCTCCGAGATCTTCTCCATGAACGTGCGCGCCCAGGCTGTCGGCATGTGCTCGCAGATGCAGAACGTCGCCAACACCATCTTCCAACAGTTCTTCCCCATCTTCCTGACTAGTATGTATTTCCCCATTCGTCTTCCGTCCGTTCCCAGCGCTGCTGTGCAGCCGCTAATCTCCGTCCTCAGACTCCGGCCTCAAGTGCCTGTTCCTCTTCATGGCCATCAACTTCATCCTCGCCGCCTACGTCTACTTCCTCATCCCCGAGACCAAGCAGGTCCCGCTCGAGGAGATCGATGTCCTGTTCGGCGGTGCCAACCACGTCGACAAGGGCGCCAACATCCTCGGCGTCGCCGAGTCCAAGTCCCACACCGGCCCCGTTGTCTCCGAAGCCGAGCGCGTCGATGTCGAACGTGTAAAGGAGACTTCGGCTGTGTAAACGTACTTGGGACTATAAACTGGC